AATTTCCTTTACATTTATCCCCAACGACAAAAATAATGCATGTTCAGATCATGTGAACGTGCTTGCCGTGCTACAGAACAATGGAGACGGTTTATTCTTTCATTTCCAAAATGATTGTCATCTTTTACTGGTAATGTAAGATGCGGAAAAAATCTTACGTGAAAATAGAGGTATTCAGACATTAAACTGCTGAAGTATTCTGTAGAGGTACAGGTAAATACAGGGAGGAAACAAGCGATATAACGAGGGTCAACTGGTAATACATACTAACTAATCCTATCCTAAAAATAAATAAAAATAAAAAAATAGAAGCTTTACTAGAGTTCACCCCACAAAAAAAAAAAAAAAAAAAAAAAAAAAAAAAAACTTGAGAACAGGAGCATTTGAGTAGATGAGAAGCTTTCCAAAGGATCTGCAGTTTACTTGTTATGCTTACTTTGTGTAATCCCACCAAAATACTCCGCATCCAGTATTTATTACAAATAATGATTTAGGACATAAAGAGATTGCAATACAGTATCAATACAATATGAAATTCACAAATGAAACTGAGATTATTTGTTTCGATGTAATAAAAATAACAGATTAACATAATGAGATAAATATAGTAAGTGCTAGGAACACAATGTTATAATGAACTGCACTAATAACATTAAACAAGTGACCCCGAAATCAAATCGTTTGAAAATATCCAAAAGTTATCGCGAATAGGAATCTGAGAACTCGGGGTTTGGAAATGAAAAAATTTGGAATACAGAAAATAATTTTGATAAGAAATCAACACAATTTAAAAAAAAAAAAGAAAGTACTTAAAATGGTACGTTAGAACAGGTTACATTTAGTAAAGTTTGTAAGTGAAATATTTTTGAACATATTCATATGATGTGTAGGTTCATTTAAATTAAAGAAATTTATGCAGCATGAGAAACTTGACAAACATCTAGGAAGACAATCACTGAATATTTTTATAAACTTAGCATACTAGTGTTTATGTTTAATTAGAAACCTTTGAATGCTAGGAGATCAGGTTGTGGGAATTTGATGTGATTTTCCTTATTTAGGAGGCATAAGAATGTGTAATGATCAGAAGTTCCCTGTTTCCCACAAATATAGATGCGGAGTTTGGCATACATCTTGCCTAGAAATATGTGGCAAAGGATTCGTGTCCTGTTACATACTGGTAATTAAATGAAAGTATCGAGTACAGAGGTGCGATTCTTACATTGGAATCAAATTATACGTGCCTCTTCCCTGTGAAGCATGATTCTGCAAATCTTGTGAATATTTTGAAGCAAGTTGTTTTTTTAATTTGAAAACGCACCATTTCATTCCTCTGGAACTCTGGAAAACTAAATATTTGGCAGGAAAAGAAAAATCTGAAAGCTTTCAAATTTTATATTACGCCCAAAGGGAAGTTCGTTTATATACAAATACACTTTCAAGAGCATTTGGGCTAATGTTTCTTTGGGCTAAAAATGTTTAAAAACAGCCTAGCTTTAGAATTTTCGAAAGTATCGCGCGCTAGAGAGGAAAAAAATGTTCCCTGAAATATTGCTCGCTTGGAAATCGTTGAGTTTGTTAATCAAAGATTCGCTAAAGTTTTACAAAATCTGAAATACACAATAAAATATTTAAAACCAGCCTATCTTTAGAATTTCCGGTAGACAGTCTCGCGCGCTGTAGATAAAAATGTATTTTTTTTCGTACAATATTGCCATTGTTCGCTCTGAAATCATTGAGTTTGTTCATAAAAAATCGTTCAAATTTTAATCGTTTAATTTTTAATTAAAAATCGTTTTAAAGTTTTACAAAATGTGAAATACACAAGAAAACAAATTCGAAATTCAAAATTCGTCCATGAGTCCATATGCGGGTGGAGGACTATGTTATTCAGAATTTGATCGTTAAAATTCAAAAATTACGCCCGGATGGGCTTTTTTTAACTTTTTGTGTGTTACCTTTATTTATTAAATATCATGTTCTTCGAACTTAAGCCACATAAAATTCAATTCGACAGCATTATCACAAATTACTTGAAAGAGCATATCTTTAGAATTTCGGATACACAGCCTTGCGAGCTGGAGATAAAATGTTTTTTTTTTCGTGCAGTGTTGCCATTACTCGCTTTGAAATCATTGAGTTTCTTAATCAAAAACTCATAAATTCTTTACAAAATATGGAATAGATGATAAAATAATTCCAAATTTGAGCTTCCAGATACCCATATTCGGGTGCAGACTTACGTTGTTCAAAATTTGATAGGTTGTTTTATCACAATACGAGAAGCATAGATAAATTTATGCAGATTCTTCATTATTTAATTTCTTCAAATATAATACAGGGCTCTAATATTTGGTGGCAATAATTTAGAAAGTGATTCGCCGTTTATAGTTAATCAAGGCAAAATGCTAAAACGAAATTAATAGCCCTTCTGGGCAAATTATCCCTTTGGGCTAAATAAAAAAGGAAAAAAATGCTGCCCTTCTGCATTTGCCCCGCGATCCACATCTTGAATTGTGCGACATTTTTCTTTTCGCAGTGTTAAAATCTGCAATGGAAATATGTCGATTTGATATTGAAAGCATTAAAATGAATACGACGACAGCTTTAAACAGATTAACTTTGGACGACTTTCGCCCCTGCATTTTGCTTTTTCATCATAATTCAGAGGGACGTTTGTTAAAAGCTGTAAGACGGATTTTCGAATAATCGCTTAAAGTTTGTTTGAAGAGAAAATTTTCATTATATAATTGTCGCATCTTGCCTATGTGCACTGGTAGAATCATTAACATTACTGTTTCTCTTCGGTGCGGTTGCTACTATCGGGTTATCGTCTAGTTTGTATACTGTCTCAGGTTTGTTCTTCGAATACAATTTCAAATGGCATTTTAATTTAATAATAATTTTACTAAGCCGGTTGGGTATATTAAACCAGAATTTAATATTTTCAACATTACACATCTTCTAAAAGCTTTCAAACCAGAATTGCACCGGAAGAACGTGATCTTTTAATGATAGAAATTCTCCGACAGAGAAACTACACTTTTTTAATATAAGAGAAAGCACGTCTTGCTGTTTTTCAAATATCGCGAATGTTTGCGATGCGCAAATGGCTTATAAAAATTTTATCTTTTGATACCGCAAGTAGGAAATATCATTGCAAAATTTTTGAATTGCTCTTTTAGAGTACAAACTTCACTTATTTCAAGAGAAATTTATGTGAAGGTTTAAGTAATTCTGAGAAATGATTTTTGTTTCAAAACTTTTTAATACAAAAACTTTAACTATAATCACTCAGTAGTTTCTTCTCAAATTATATATACAATATCGATTTTCGAAATCACTTCCTTTCTAAACATATTTGAGTTTACTAAGAGGCTGACTGAGCACTGAAATTGTAATACATATAACGTGAAAGTTTTTACCAGTGTGGTGTCAATATTGTAATATTTCAGACCATTTGAAAGTTATAGAGAATACCTTATCAAGCCATATGTATTTGAAAACTAACTGATATTTGTGTCTTTGTTCTTTCCAAGAACAAGTCGATTGATATAAAATTAAGTAAAATTCATTCATCTACCGGCTAAGTACTTTTGAATCACCGCTTATTATGTTCGCTAATAACTTAATTGCTTGTGATCCAAAAGAAAAATGTCACTCCACTCGCATTCTTTGAACCAAATATTTATTAGCTATGCAATAAAATAGTAAACAAGGCAGCGGAGGATTCTTGGAAGAATCAGAACTAATTAGCCAGCACAGATTCTCAGTCCCTGAGGAGAGGGAAGAAAGCAGCCTTTTTTTTATCTCCAGTAAGATTATTATCTGTTTATTTTTTGTATAACAAGCCGTCACAGCCTCTAGAGTCTTTTAAGTTTAAATACACTGAAAACTTTAATAAAATGGTATAACTACTAGTTTATAAATATTTTTATAAAAATACTTAAATTATTATAAAAATACTAATAATACAGGGTGTTTATAAAGTTCTGGACCCATTTTGATGTGTAATAACTCATAAAATAATGAAGATATAAACAAACTTATGGCATTTATTGATGGAATAACTTATATATTTTCCTTTTCAGGTTTGAATATGTTTACTTTTATAAATATCGTCTACGCGTGTGGTTAATTGCAGATAATTTCATTTTACAGTCTAAATATCTGTACTTTTCTAAATATCGTCTGCTTATTAATTTCTGAAACGCATAATGTTCTCCGACGAAGCATCCTTTCATCTTTCAGGCATTGTTAATCGCCATAATCTGCGCATATGGGGAATCTGAAACCCCCCATGAATACCGTGAGGCACAAAGGGATTCCCCAAAGGTTAATGTGCGGTGTGGACTAATGCATGACCGAGTCATTGGGCCTTTCTTTTTTACAGAAAAGACGGTCTCATCAGTCGTATACTTAGACATGTTGGGAAACTTCGTATTTCCACAACTAGAAGAGCTTCAACCACATGTCTTTTTGCAACAAGATCGTGCACCACTTCATTGGGGTACCATCGTTCGTAGTTCTTTGAATGACCATTTTACAGGAAGATGGATTGGGCGAGGAGGTCCAATTCCTTGGCCACCCAAATCACCTAATATAAAGAACGCAGCTGGACATTTTCCTTTCAGATTTGTAAAGGAAAACGTTTACAGGAGGAGAGTGTCGAACATTGATGACCTAAAAGCCAGATTTACAACCGCAATAGCCTCTGTGGATGCCGACATGCTTGCCGGTACCTGGCGTGAAATTGAATATCGACTTGATATTCTCCGTGCGACGAAGGGGGCCCACGTGGAAGTTCATTGTCAAGGATCATGAAACGTTTAGAGTCTATCTAACCATTTATGTTATTCATTTTAATCAATCTTTATTATTTTATGAGTTATTAAACATCAAAATGGGTCCGGGACTTTATAAACACCATGTATTATAAAAATACTAAGTATATAATAATACGTTTATAATGCTACGACACTGAAGATAAGAATACTTACATCGGACGTAGTAATAGAGACGCTATTCTTCGAGCATCTAGCATTGTATGGAACGGAAGATAATGAGATGCCAGATGAGTCTGCTGGACTCGCAACAGGCACTCCTCCGGCTCGCCAAGTATATACTATTCTTGCAAGTTGTTGCTTGAATAGTTTTGTAGTTAGTGTATAAAGAACAGGATTCAAAGCTGAATTAATAGGCAGCATGAAAACTGCCACCCATGCGTACAGCTCAGAATATATTTTTACTCCTGAAAATGCAAATGATATTAGTAAGAACAATAAAAAATATTAAATTAGCTATTATGCTTTTAAATATTTTTCCAGGTTAAAAATCTGAACTTATTTGTGAAAGTGAAGGTTCAAGTGGTTATCCATGACTATAATTTTTGAATATTTAAATTTTATTATATTACTTATCAGATGCATAATTAAAAGTTATTTTGTTATTATATATATATTTCGAAACACAGAGAAGAATAAAATTCTCTAAATATAAATTCAGGAAACTGGAGAGGTCATGACTGTATACCTTGAAGTTATTTATTTATATAAATACAGATATTATATAGTTACAGGAAAGCGTTGTTCCGCACATTGGAAATATTGAAGTTTCTTTGGAGTTGCTGCAATCAATTCAGTATTTTGTAATTTTTTTTAAATTTCAAACCAAATTCACCCCACTTTCAAAATGTAACAGAATGTCATTGCCATGAAAGTTTTTCTTTTCCCAAGCGGTTTTTCTAAAATGCAAAGCTTCCAAAAATTGTGTAAAATTGAAGGATAGAAATATTTTATTTTAGTTTCAAATGCTTTTACATTGGTTTCACTGAGGCTAGATTTACCTATTTTGACTTTTCCTTGCCATCTGAGATAGAGGAATTACACTTTCAAATAAATGGCCATTTACCACCCATTCCTCCTTGAATAAAACAAATTACCTGTACTGGAAATTCTAAGACTGAAATTCAAAAGCTGTTTTTTAAGTATGAGTACTGAAGTCTTTTTGAAAGATAATTATCTTTCCTTTGAGATTATCACAATTTTTAACAACAGAAAAAGTTCATTTAAAGATCTGTAACATCTTCATTCACTGTCATTTGTTTTAGCTATCATCATTTGTTCATCATGTGTAAAATAAATATGAGCATAACTTACTTAAAACATCATCCACGATGTCATCCCTTCTAATATGCATGGACGAGGGTCACAAACATGGGTGACCCTATCTGATCATATAACTACTCGTAGTTTGTCAATTTACTGCAATAATGCTGCAATTTATCGTGATAACAAAATGAATTTTATCCTTATGTTTTTAATCGAATTCCCGTCTCAATACAACTAGAAAAATAGTATTATATTTTGAAACAAGAATGTATTATAATGTTTAGGAAAAAGTGACTGTAGCTTTACAATAGATACCGCTTCATGCGGTAATGTTATTATTTGGATATTGTTACTGAATTAACGAATTCCAGTCCACCTGTATACGAAAACATGATCAATACATCGCTTGTTGTGATGAGCAATTTGATTACTATGGCCAAAATATTATAGAATAATTTCATTTAACTCAAATAGAATCACCAATTAAAAATAAAGCTGCCAAATAAGGTCAAAAGAGACTAACAAAATTACCAAATGACAGAGAAATATCGCCACGTAAGGCATAAAGTCTGCAATCAGTTTGGTTCCGATTTAAAAATTTGGCAAAAAAACTAGCCTTTTACCTAGTTTTAAATGGTATATTGAACAGTTCTATCGAATTTAATCAGATACAGATCTTTCTCCAGGAGAAACTGATTTCCCTGAAAACATTTATCTTAATCTAAGTTTGCTTTTTGCTCTGTTTTAAAGTCTGCATCACCATGATCTCTTCCAATGAGGGATGCTATCAAGTTGTAAAATGAAGAGTAATCAATTGAATAATTTTAGAAACATTATAAACAGTTTACAGATCATCTTTTGCAGCAAGGATATTATGAACAGTTTATAAACTTTTGCAGTTTTCTAATTTAAGTGTTGTGAAAGTACCAGTTCACATGATTTTAGTTATATTTATATCAACTTAGTTAAATTCCACTGCTATTTGAAAGAATATTTTTTCTCATCGTTTATTGCAATCCAAATAGCCACGGACTAACTTGGCCGCATTAAGCAGTACTGTATTTCTATAAATACTGATGTAGAATACTACAAAACAATTACAATGTTATGGAAGCTGAAAGATTTCAGAGCAAAAACTGTACTTTTTATATGGCTCCCAAACGGAAAATTTTCAGTTAATAAAACGTTCATTATATTTTCATTAGTTAAAATACTTGGCTTATTTATAGTTCGATAAGACATGCTAAAGCTGTCTGCCTAAATTGTTACGGAAGCTTTTATGGAGGATGTTTTTAAGAGAAACTAATGCATATTCAAGTCACACATAGGAAAATACACACTCACACACACACACACACACACAAAAAAAAGCATTAAACATACGTTTGAAGGGATCGGATCCCGGAGTAAGAAGAGTTCAGCGAACTGATTAGTTAATACAAATATATTCAAAACCCTTTAAGTGCAAGAATGTTAAGATATGCTCTGGAAACATTTTACATCAAAAAGTATTTTGGTGAGGTTATTAAATCAACAAGTATTTTTGGTATCAACAAGTATCGCCAGTATCAACAAGTATTTTTGGTGAGTTATTAAATACAGCCAAAAATTTCATAATGAATTATGTTTCAGCAAAGGGAATTGTTAATTATCAAGATGATTATTTAATCTTATAAATAATGACTTTTAAACTTAATTTACTTTAAACTTTAATTGACTTATAAATAATGACTATTTTCAGTTTATTAAATAAACTGAAGTCTTTAATCATGTCGACAAAAGGCATAGATAAATGTGAACAGAGTCAGTATTCTTCATTCTTGAAACTTTCTACGAGTTTTTTCTAGTAGAACAAAGTGCTGTTAAATTTTTAAGCAATGAAAGCATAGTGAATTGTATATTAGCTATAAATTTGCCTGTTTGGGCATTACATATTCAATTATAAGTCTCTTCCCTCTGACAGTATTAAAATACTTTCGCAAATTTCTATCCGTTAGAGAGTAAATCTTGTCATTATATGTATATATCAATGATGTTTAATAAAATAACTCTCCCAGTCACCTTTGTCGGATATGCATTTTAACAATAATTATTTTTCCATAATAAACTATTTTGTTTTTAATGTGAACCAACATTTTGTTCGTATAAAAAAGTGTAAATGTTGCAGTATTTTCTTAAAATAAACTGTCAAAAGAAATTTTCTGACATTTTTTTGATCCACTGCTTTTTAAAACGTCAGAGAAAGGTTTAATAGATTCGAAGACAATCCAACAGAAACAAGTCTAAAACTCTGGAAAGCTAAAAGTGGGATAAAATACTATTCCAAGCTCGACGCTTTTAAATCCTAAACTTTGTTACTCATTAACAAAAAAACTTCTTAACCCTCCAACGTTCACTACTGTTATGAAATTGTTATGTATTATTTTTGTTGTGAAAATTATTATGTATTATTTTACTGTGAATAGGGAAGTCTTAGTGATTATATTATTTTACTGTGATTATAATGTAACATTATAATGTTCGTATTAAGAATTTATGTTTAATATATAGTTTGTTTAAACTTTTCGTTCGTTTACGGCAAAGCTCTTTTAAGTTAGCATAAAAGTTGATATAGCTAAAAGGGCGCGGGTGTACTTCCATTCGCACGGAGCGGTCAAATTTGCGGCCAGCTGCTTTTTCGTCTCCTGGGGGGGGGGGTTGAACGAGGGAAATAGTTGTAAAAGGGGCGTTATTTGACAGAGTTATGAGTTGAAAATATTCTTTTTGGTTTGCGCGCGAAAGGGTATGTCATCTGGAAGAGAGTTTTGAATTTTTTCGAATTCTGGAGGCTTCCTCTGTTCTAGTTGGCTAGAGGAAGTTCAAGTTTTGGTTTAAGATTGGTTATTTTTAATTTTATTATTGTTTGAGTCAATGGTGAAATTGGAGACGTTACATTTTGAGCGTCAACCGAGGTTTCTTAACTTGTTGCACGAGAGGCAGAAGCAGATTTTTGACTGATTTTGTTTAGCAGATTTTTCAGTCTTAGCGGGTTTGCTTCTTTGACGGCGGCCGCCGTCAGTGATGAGCAGTTCCCGTGGTTTGCTTGCTGCGGACTGAACGGTGTGCGATAGCGGAGATTTTTTTTGTGAGATTTGGGCCCAGTTTTGATCTACTTTTGATAGTTTAGCTCGGCGACCCCTTGGGGGCGACCGCGGTTAAAAGTATTTATCTCCGAGATTCGGTGGGAACCTGTCCGAGCTCGTGCGAGCTCCCTTCGTGAAAGAGTCGGCGAAGTTGGCTCATGATTTGGGGGTAGGTCCCGCTTTTCCCTGTAAAGCTGCATGTTGGACTTGATTTCATCACATTATCATTCCGAATTGCTCGCGCTGAAGATTCAGATTGTCATCTCCACTTGTCTATTTGCCTGCATGTAATCATATTCCTAAGGACGATCTTCGAGTTTCTTGAAGGCGTTGCTTCACCCGTTTAGATGCCGTTGAAGAAAGGGAAGAACAAGTATTTCTCCTACAGTTTACCTAATTAAGTCTCGACGAGCGATCGTTTCGAGGACCATTATATGTGGACGGGGAAAAGGGTGAGATTCGTTTAAGGACCCTTGGTTGCGAAATCTGTGAGTTTTTTTAATTTTCATTTTTGCTTTTCTTTTAATAATTAATCTTTAGGATTCTTAAATTTACAATACAAGATATCATTTTCAATAGAAAAAATTTATGAAAGAGGTTTTGGAATTTTATTTTTTAGTGATTCCTATTTTATGTTTTTACAGTAAGAATCTAGAGCTTGCTGTTCTTTAATTGGTGTGTATAAGATCAGGTGTAGTAGATGTTTATATATGTTCAGCTATATTTACGGATCTGGATAAATAATCGGCAGTCAAATTCAATTTTGCCGGTTTATAAATAATTTTATAATCATACTGAGACAACCCCATTATCCACCTGGAAATCCTAGATGTTGGATCTTTTAGTTTTAGTACATGTGAAAGTGAAGCCTGATCCTAATAAACAGTAAAATGTTTGCCTAAGAAATATTGTCTAAAATGGACAGTCACCCAAACTATAGCTAAATCTTCCTTCTCAACTGTGCTATAATTAATTTTTGGACCTTTTAGCTTTCTACTAGCAAAACAAATAGAGTGTAAAAATCCCTTTTCATCTTCTTGACCAAAATGGCTCCTAGAGCAAAATTTGAGGCATCTGTACACAAAGCAAAAGTCAGATAAAGCCAAACATATCTACCTGCAATAGCCAAGATCTTGATAACGATGATGGGGACCCAGCATAAAAGATCCGTTGCTACAATGAAAGCGAAACGTTTGGCAATTGTTCTGTCTTGCTGTTGTTGTGAAGATCTTAACCCAAGCTTTGATCTACTTATTGTTATAAACATCGTAACATAAGCATAGGATATGAATATAAATGCGACAGAGTTCAAACCGCAGAACACTATCAATGAGTACTCCCATCCGCGAGAAAAAGGATCATGTATTTGCAGTGGCAGACAGACGCCATTATTGCCATAGAATTCATCTCCAAAGTAGCCGAGATTCAGGGCGGGCAGAATGGCGATTGTGACAGCGGCTGTCCAGCTTGCTGCGACACAGGATCCGGCGAAGAGTAGAGTTCGACGTCTTAGCATGAGAGGATAAACAATTGACAGGTACCTGAAAAGAAACACTGCACGTTTAAAATATTTTAGTTAGACATTCGCTCCAACATGAAATCTATTTAAAACTCTAGGAGTAGTCAATACGAACATAAAGCTATATTAAACAAACTGGATGCAAACAAAATTCATTTCTAGGTCAAAAGTAAAAAGTTGAATTATAATTAACTCTTTAAATCAATCAAATTCAATTGCCTCCATTAGAATAATCTTTTCATGACGAAAATAAATTTGCGTTTTCTGTCTTTAACATAAACATCAAAACTCCGAGATTGTTGACTATGAAATAAGCATATACCTAACCACAGAGTTTTATGAGTATAGCTCATGGCATTTTTGAAAGATAATTGTAGTTATGTTCTGTTATCTTCAGATAGAAGTTTCTCAAAATGATTATTTTCGTTCGACTTTAGAGAGAACAAAAGAAAATAATATTCCTAAATGATTCTGAGTACTTTATAAATACGTATATTGCACAGTACGAATTTTATATTACGCAGTATAAATTTTATGTGCAACTTACAAATCTGAACTTTTGTGAAAATTTTTAAATTAATCGTTAATGATACTGAAATAACATTTACAATCACTGTAAAATTTAGAGAAAATATTTAGAGAAATTAATGATAGTTTTTTTAAACGGTAATTTCTCAGCAAATTTAGCCTGCAATTTTGCAGTATCAGTGTATGCGGCTTTACATGAACTACGGCCAGCACAAGCTGAATTCAAAATCTTGCAAATAGGAAAAAAAAATTGAACAGTCAAATTAGGCGTTTTTAAATGTTAATATTATGTGCATTTTGCTGTAAAATATATAGTAAAGGAGAATCATTAAAAATCTGTATAATCCTTTTTTTGCACAATATGTAGACGCCTGCTAAATTATCAAATCCAGCAAGCTGAGGTCATGGACCTGATAAGAAATAGACTAACCCAAAAGGGTTTTCTCCCTCGTCTGAGGCGTTGCTGGCTGTCACCTTGATCACATCCGGAGGAGAAAGGACGACTTGCAGAAATTTAACAGTGGTTGCCTATTGCAGCATGTATAATTGTCAAGAAAAAGCTGGCTGTGCCTCATTTCACAAGAATTTCTCCATATTTTATTTTTGAAATGAGACTGATTTTTAAAATTTAGCATATTTATCAAGCATAATTAGCGTTCCAATTATAATTGCAGTCGCTGGATTGCTTTTCCTGGTATAATTTTACTTTGCTTAGAAATATTTTAAATCTGAAACTAATAGAATATTTCAACAAGCAATTTTTATGCTTTTTATTGGGTAAAAGTAAAAAATACTAAAATATTTAAAAACGAATTTTTGTTTTGTTTAAAATTCTAATTGTGCTGCTTTTTTAAAATCTAGATATTACAGCACAATTTCTATAAAGGAATTTTATTTCAATTATATTCATAATACATCGTAGTGATAAACACTTCTTGAACTCCTTAATTTTTATACATTTAATTCTAATATTAAAATTATATTTAACCGTAATAATTAATTTTGCTTGCATTTTACAGTGATTATTTTTTAAATTTATTTTTAGTTCTGCATAAGATTTTTTTTTTTTTTTTTTTTTTTTTTGTATTTACGGTTAATTTAATTTATTAGCTCGAAGCGCACTTTGCGCTGTTTCGCTATAAATGTCCGTGTGTCCTTGCAAATTTTTGTTACCAAATATTATCGCCCTGTATTATATTTAAAGACATTAAGTAATGAAGAATCTGCATGAATACATGTATGTTTCACGCACTGTGACAAAAACGACGGTACCTAGAGCCATCAAATTTTGAATAATGTAATCCTCCATCCGAACATGGGCATCTGGACGGCCGAATTTCGAATTTGTTTTGTTATCTACTTCATATTTTGTAAACCTTGAACGGATTTTTGATTAAGAAATTCAACGATTTTAAAGCGAGCAATGGCAACACTGTACGGAAAATAACATTTCTATCTCCAATGCGGAAATTCTAAAGATATGCTGTTTTCAAATGTTACGGGCGATGTTTCAAATGTGGTTTACGGGCGAAGAACATGATATTCAATAAATATAGGCAACAAACAAAACGTTAAAAAAAAGGTTCCTTTTGGGCGTAATATAAAATCTGAGTGCTGCTATGCCTGAGTGCTTGGGGTTTTACCGTTTTTACCGATATCTAGATTTTATCTTTTTTTTCTCCTTCATTACACTCAGAAAATTTTATGCTCCGAATTTTATAAATTACTAAAATAAATAATCCACTTTAATGTTAATAATTTAATGATGATATAATCAAATAAATAATCGTTTTGTAATGTTATTATATTTGAAAATCACTGCCTGAAATGTTCATTAAATTAAGAAAATAATTATCAGATCTTGTTTAATTTTACCTTAATTATTTCAAAGCATCACGTACTATCAATCTTATTTAATTTTACTTTATTTTTACGCAAAGTTAAGTTCATAAATTTTGCATTTAGAGTTTTTACCAATTTACCAACGTAAAGATGTTTGTACAAGAATTACTGGTGAAAAAAAGTGTGCGAAATGCAGTAAAAACTGCTTTAATGAGATATATTCAATTCTATTTGAAAAAAAAAACTGTCACTTTCATACTCTCATCATTATACAACGTGTCACATTTAATAATTAAAATCTGTTGTGTGATACAAACGCCATAGGTTTCAACGTTAAACTAAATGAGATCGTCCCTACTCTTTCTTAGAGACATGTCGGTGACGCGAGCCCCGCCCACTTTGTTAGTCTATTTCTTCTAAGGTCTATGGCTGAGGTCACAGCTTATCCAGGACTTATGAGAGACAGACAACCCATGGACGTCGCGCGTCACCGACATGTCGCAAGAAAGAGAGGGCGATCGGTTTACTAACAGGAAACCTATGGCGGACTAAATCTTTTAATTATTAAATGTTCAGTTAATCTGTACAAACATCTTGGATTTAAAACGTAAAACTCTGCACAAAATTTGAACTTAATTTGCGTCCAAATCACATAAAATAATAGATGCTAGTACGTATGCTTTTAATAAATAGGTAAACTTAAGCAAGATTTGAATTTTTTTAATTATGACCATTATCAGGCAGTGTTTCAAAACTAAAACATAAAACAATAAGTTATTTGATTATATCAATTACTTAGAAACGTTAATGTTATTTATTTGAATTTAAATTCGGGCAAAAAATTTATGTAATGAAGGGGAAAAAAAGGAAAATAGCAGCCCACAATTTTATATTACGCCCAAGGAACCTTTTTTAAAGTTTTGTGTGTACCATACCTATATTTCGCCCGAATACATGACAAGTTCTCGCCGTAAACCACTTGCTGTTCTGAACTCGTGAGTTTGTTAATAAAAAAACAAAAGCATATCTTTGAATTCCCGTGAGACAGGACCGTAGCTGGAGGAGGTGAGAAAGAGAATAAAGTGTAGAAATAAAAAAGACAAAAGAAGGAGGGGTGGAGGACGTACAAATTTACTTTTTAAAAACCCAAAACCACTTAAATAAAACGTTAACACCAATAAAAACAAACTTGCTCAGAAAAATTGCTCTGTTTGAGTTCATTAGTCAAAAATGATTTCAAAAGAAGTTAGGTACAAATGTCCGTACAGCATAGGAAAAGCTAAAAAAAGATCCAGTGAAAAGAGCAAGAGACCTTAATTATTTGGAACTTGAATTATGCTTGATAATAGGCGAAAGGGTAAAAATCAAGCAATTTCAAAAAAAAAATATGTAGAAATTCTAATTTGTAAATGAGGCGCTTAAGCAGCTTTTTCTTGACAATATACATGCGCAAGGCAAAGGATAAAAGAGGCAAGGCCCTTCCTCGGACGTGATCAAGGGCCGCCAGCACGCTCAGCCGTGGCGAAAACCCGTTGGGTTAGTCTCGTCCGGAGAAGGTTGAGCTATCAAGCATGGATCAAGCGAAACAAAGCAGATATTTCCAGACGAGAAAGAACGAAAGCGAACAGACGGTGCTATCCTTGGATTTGAGAAAACAAAAGCACCACGATGCGGAAGTTCCTTGACGCCAAGCTGCGGTCAAAAGATAGTGTTAACAGGATGGATGAGAAGAAGAATTTTATCAAGGAATGGGAGGTAGACAGAGTGGAACTGTTAAGAGAGCATGGATGAGAGATGTATCATTAAGGAATCTGGGGGACTGATGTTTTAGGTTCGAACTTCTATTCATTTTACTTAATTCATATTTTCATTATTTCTTATATTAGTAAAATAAAGTAGTTGTCATAGTAATCCGAGTTCGTATTGAGGGTAAGATGGAAAAGGGGGAAAAGAGGAAAGAATCATAAGTTAAGAAATAAAATGAAGTTTAAAGATCGCAGGAAGAATTTAAATTATTAAGGAAATAAGCACCTTTTGTTTTAAAGTTGCACATTTTTTCTTAAATAAATTTTAAATTTTAAAATATGGTAATTTATATTTATTTTTTAAACATTTTTTTAAAAATTCTCTTACCTTTTAAATTTGCTTTTTTACGTATTTACATGTTTGTTAAAATTCAAATCTATATTACATATTTACTTTTAATATACGAAATGGAATGCTACCTGTCAGCTGTAATAATACTCATAATAAAAATAGAAGCTTCGCTGCTGATGGTGCTCAGCATTCCTGCCAAAGTACACTGCCAGCTATGCCTCCAAGTGACGTCATGACGAATATATTCTCCACGGAAAGCTACATCGTGACCAGCGATGAGGAACAAGTAGAGACACATTAAAAAGTCTGCCACAGACAGATTCTGAAAGATAATTTCATCACATTAGATGATTCTAAATTAACCAACTAAAGCCAGATGAAATAGCTAAAAACATCCTGTATATTTAAGACCTTTCTGTGATCAGTATATTCATAAGAAGGACCATCAGCGGCTGAGCGATAAAGTCTTTGACCACTGGTTGTTTGGTTCAAATCCCGCGAACGGGCAGGATGCATGGTCGCGTTCGTGGTTTTCCCAATGTGTAATGTGTTAATAAGAGCCAGTTTCGCTTAGAAAGTCCTCCATTAAGGCATTCCTCCCTTCCGTGTAGTGCCTTAAGGCGGAATACATATATAATAATAATAATTGTGCTCAAGTTTTAAATAAGAAATATGGTTTCTAATAAGAAAGTAAGAAAAATAAATTTACCCGGAAATTGTTTAATTTTAAAAACAGGAAAGCTGTGTATCTAAAGCTCTTTATTGTGAGTGTCATCAATTTTGAATTTGACTTCTAAATGCCTAATTTCATGCAACTTGAAATTAATGAATAAACAAACTTAATTTCGTGCAACATGAAATTAATGAAAAATGCTAAGATGATTCCAGTGTTAAAAATGACGATTTATGTCGGTTTATAAAATACTTTAACTTTATACAGATGAAATGCTGGTGGACGTAAGTTCATATTTTTCACTACCAAAATTTATTACAAGGGCTGATATCTTTTTGCAAAAGATAACAAATAAGACATTAAAAGGCCTGTTATTTTTATTTTTCTCGTAACAAAAGCAATAAGTGTAGTAAAAGTTTAACAGCTTGAATCGTCTAATAGAAAAAGAAAAGCTTTTGTATGTATATATTTTACAATCATTATGTAAAATATCGGATATCAAGATATCATCATATTTTTTATTTCTAAATTTAGTTCGAGTTTAAAGCACCATTAAAACTATGCTTTAATTTAAAAATTAGCTATTCTGTTAAAGGAAATTCTGTCCTAAAATCGTAAACATCCATTGAATATTTTCGAACTTTAAGAGGATTTGAGAGCATTACGGGCTTTAAATCTGGACACACAAAACGAAAATATTTCTGTCTCGTAGAGGAAAAACAACTTTATACAGTGGTATAAATATTAAATACTATGAAGTAGCTATTATAATCTACATATGTATAGCCTGATAGAGGAGTTGAAATATTAAAATACTGAAATAAAATACAGTTATTGGAAAAATAATATGTTTTTCAATGCTAGTAAATGATGATCCATTTCCAGAACTCAAATTCCCGACATGATTAACAAAAGCATTGAAACAAAAAATAAATTGACAATATTCAGTTACTATATAGACTGCATTTTAGGTGTCAAAGTTTCAATACTTGAAAGATTTTATTCCTTCAGAATTAATTTCTTAAAAACATTTTGACGGAAAAATTACGTATCTTATTCTCAAAATATTTTAAAGATATATTTTTTGTTGATCATGATATACATGTGGAACTTCTAAACCAGAAATATGATTTAAGAAAAAAAAAA